TTGTGAATCACACATTTCTATTGAGAGTATTATAATACATTTCTCATTCAATTTTGCCGTAGACTTTATGAAAGAAGTTCATATTAAAGGTTAGAAAACTTGCTCAAGGCTAAGCAGTTATGTAATGTCAAATGTCTTTCTGAAACTTCAGAAATCTCAAAGTTATTAAAACATTTCACCGTGCTTTTCAGACTTAAAGGTGTGTTGTTTTTTTTCCACGGAGATGTTATTGCTTTGTCTGGAATGTTTCAAAGTATGGTGTTAAACCTACATATCTTCATGGGTCAGATCTGTGGAGAGGCGAGCCCGCTCCCAGTCAGAATGTCTGCTTTTCTGTGTAATTGAATAAATGTAAAGTCGAGCTGTTTAATGTCACACTGTGGAACATTCCAGGCAGAGAAATGACATGTCCATAGAAACAAGCAGGTGACGGACTTTCCACCAGAAAAGTTACACAATACACCTTTAAAACAATCACGCTAGGATCCACAGGAAGTTCGCACGTTTAATTTTATAAAGTCTACGGGGAAAAATATGGATGAAAATTGTTCTTCCGGAAGGTGGACTGTGGACTCCATTGTCTCTGAGTAGTTTTTACTTTGTTTGGATGCATTTTGTACACACAACTTTAATTTTATGTTAATGTTTTGCATTAAAATACTCGATTTCATAAACTGTTGTGAGTAAGACCACACTAGAACTAACTCACTCACTAAAGAACTCGTCATTTCAAAGCAGTGCACTTGCAGACGCTAGAGTGAGAATATTGTGATGTGTATCTGCTAAAGTGCACTTGCGTTTTGATGTTTCACTCATTAAAATAATTTAATCTTTAACCAAAACATTGTGAATCATGTCAAATTGAAATGTTGATTGTGTATGTGATTTGTCTTTTTTTTTTTATTAGTGTAATATTTGAAGATTAAATAGGAGTGGGGAAAAAATACAACCTTGAGGTGCTCCTTCAGAGATTTACCCAACCTTAAACAAAAATATTCTGATCAATTAAATAATTTCTTTAAAATATTGTTTTAATTGTGTTAATTTTGTCTTATTTTTTCACATTGTTAAACTGTACATAAAAAAGGTAAAGTATCGTATTTTTATCATCAAAATGCAAGTGCTTACAACTGTGATATATTCAAGACTTTCAGTACATTGCATGGTACCCATCTTTGATTACAAAAACACAAACATTAAACATTCCACTTCTATATTTTGTACATTAATAGCTCTTTGGTGCGTACTATAGCCCAATTTTGTGAACGAAATGAACTTTTTTTTTTTTAATTCAGCAGCACAAAAAAAATGAGAACTTAAAGACTTCTAAGAATACCTGAGAAAGATCAAAACAGTGAAAAACAGATAGCATCAGATGAGCTAAGAGAGCGAGAGGCGCTGTTACAAAAGTCCAAACATTACATTCTGTTACATCAGCTCACCTAGTCCTGCTTGTTTCGCCCAATCAGATCTCAGGCAGAAAGAACACTTCAAAATAAGTTGTGTTTTCCAGAGCCGCAGGTTTGAAATTAGGACGGAGAGCAGAATTTATGGTCAATCTTGAAATAACAAAAAGTGAAATAAAATAGCTGGTTTCTGGTTAAAGGTAGGGTACGTAAGATTTTTAAAATGCTTTTACTGATAACAATTGTAAGACTGGTTTATTAAGATCCAATCAGACAGCAGAATGAGCCTCACATGACTCTCTCATTTATGTTGCCAGTTTCAATGCTAAAATCCAGTGTTTAAACCTAAAATGTCTCTGATTTGAACGATCTCTACCTAAACTCCAGCACCTGCACCAGTCATGAGTCAGTGCTAGTGCAGCCTCTGCAGCTCAGGGAGGGAATTCTGGAGGTTCTGAGCTTTCACGTGAAACCTGCACATAAACTGAGAATGAGACAAACATGGATGTGTCTCTGTCTGCAGGTGAAAGCTCTGGAGACATGTTCAGTTGTGATTGTAGTACAGTATTTAAAAGTGTAAGACTACACACCCTACCTTTAAAGTCCTACATTATATTATTAAAAATTACAAGTTGAATCACTTTTAATCATGTATGGGAACAAATAAACTGTGGGCTTGAGAGTTCAGCTTCTTTGTCAGTAACTTTGGTTCAGTTATTTTACTCCATCAACTTATTTTGACAGATTAACAGAGACCTGTAAACACAACTTTAAGCCTCTAGATTGAATCGTGCAGGGGTCTCCAACCTGTAGCTCGGACGTTACCAACACCTCTTCACCCTGTTAGAAGTAGCTCGCCAAAGAATTTCTGAATTAAGTATTATACTGAATACCGTATTTTCCGCACTATAGGCGCTCTGGATTATAAGGCGCACTGTCATTAAATGGTCTATCTACAAACTTTTTTCACAAATAAACCGCACCAGACTTTAAAGGAAACACAACAGTGTGATGGGTGAGTGGTTTTGTTTGTTTGTGGCGTTCTCGGTGACTCTGGGCTTTGTTCAGTTGTGGCGTGTAGGGAGGGTGCTGTCTGGGACCAACGGATTGTCGGCGTGTTCGCAGTGATTCAGTTGTTCAGTTGTGTCTAGAAGTGGAACATTGCACTCGCTTTTTCGGTTCGTTCCTCCGTTCCGTTCCTCGTCGGCGTGGAGTGATGAGTGTGTCTGTGGGTGTTTTTGGCTGTGCGGTCGCTGTCTGCTCCGTGTGTGTTTGTGTGTTCTGTGGGTGGTGCTGCTTTGTAGTTTATTGAAGTCGTCCTGGGACACCCGAGTGGATTTGTGTATAGGGCGTCGTTTTTTGATGGGGTTGGAGGATTATGAGTGTGCCCAATGGTGCGGAAAATACGGTAACTCAGATTTGATTAATTACAATTGTTAATGTGTTATTTTGAACTTTATACACTAATAAATAGATAATGATTTATGGTTTTAAAGGCGTGTAACTGTACAACTCTAAGGCTTACCCTCTTCTATCCACTCAATTCTTGCAATTGCTAAAATGAGTAGTTCTTCGGCAGTTTCGTTTCCTAAAGGTAGCTCACTGGATGCAAAAGGTTGGAGATCTCTGGAATAATGTGACCAAATGGGACCAAAATAACAAGGTTCAATATTAGTGGATTTTCTGTCTCAATATTTAAAACTTAAGATAAAATCTATTGGCTCTTTCAGTCCATCTGAGATTTGAACACAAATATAGAAGCCTTTCGTTTCGTACCAGGGCTGATGAGTTTCGTTAAGGCCAGTTTGTTAGGCAGTTGGGGGCGTCTCCGTGACAACGACCCCTCCTCTTCTCTACTTTACTTGTGCAATGCTAGCCCAGTCAGACGACGTTAGCAAGAAGTTCATTTGGTTTAATAAAGTCAGGCTTTGTTGCACTTGGATAGTTCAGTCTTACAGCAGGGGGCAGCAGAGTTCACTGTGCTCAAGTGTGGACAAATGTTCACTTTGTTGTGGCTACATTAGGGAAGTCAGTAATAATCACCTTTACATTAGTATTATTAGCTGTAGATGTCACAGTCCTATAACTGTACGAATCTGACAAGCAACAAGATCTGATTTTAAAGTTATATACTGCAAAAAGAATAAATACACTTGTAAATACAGAGAAAAGCAAGAAAAAGAAAATATACACAGTGCCCCTTGATTAAATATCGTTGGTAAGTTTTGGTGTGTTTCAGGCAACTAGGAAATGGGATATTTCCCACCTTAACTTTGAAAAATGCCCTGGAACATCGCGCTCCAACTGGTATTTGCAAACTGATGATTGGAGGACTCCCACTTCACATATGAGTTCAACTGTGACGTTTCACAATAAAACTTATCACCACAAAAAGTAATTGTGAGACGATAAGCAACAAAAAACAATGTAAACATTTGATACAGACTAAATCTGACTATATTCTGTTATTTCAAATGTTAGCAACAGCATATAATGACCATGTTTACATGATGTCTTTTAATTCCAAATTAATCTGAATTAAATAGTTCTGAATTAAAATATTCTCCTTGGAGTTTCCATGGAAATAAAAATTTCGAATTGTGGTTTACATGGAAAACTCTTTAAATCGCCTTTATTTAATTCCACTAAATGTCTCGGGGTGGGGAAGGTTCTGATTGCACAGACACAAACGTATTTACGTCTTTGGGAAGAAAACACACTTCAGCTGCTTTTCTGTCATCTCAGATTGTCGTTACGCCACGGACACAAACATGATCCAAACTTTTTGTGTTTCTGATGATAATTGTGCAGCAGCTGGAGAATTGTCTCATCACTCTTTACGTCTGTCAGCTGAGGAGGAGAAGAGAAGAGTGTCGGAGAAGGAGGAAGAAGACAAACTGAGTGTGAGGCTGCTCTACCTCAGCCCACTCCCACATCCTGTTCACAAATCCAAAGAGACGTGAATGAAAGTCCCAAGCCAGGACTGATGGAGCCGGATCATCCAGATTGTGTCAGAAGGACGACACAAAGAGAATGCACCAAAGCACCGACATTATTTTTAAGAATAAACGTGAATCATGATCCAGGAATACATAAATTTGGCTTTAAAATTTGAATAAACCAAACACTTACTTCAGAATTAAGTTTAATTCTGAATAATAATTTTAATTAAGTGTTAAGTGTATTTTTATTTTTTATTGGAATTAAAGGTCTCATGTAAACATGGCAAATATTTACATTTCTTTATCCTTCGGTTTATCGTTAGCCATACTGTTTGCATCTGACTTAATTCCACTGGAACCACAGATCTAGATCCACGGCCGGAACGCTCCAAGGTCAAAACATTCAGCTGAGAAATATGTGACCTCCCAGTTGCCTGGAACACAGCATTAGTTTTAGATTTTTTAGATCTTTAGAATAAAAAAAAAATAATACTGTTGCAATGTTATCAACAATTACAAAAAAAAAAAAAATCTAAACAAAACTGAAAAAAAAAAAAAAATAATAATAATAATAATAATGTGACAGCATTTTATCTTTTATATTTCTAATAAAAATTATGCTGAATTTCTCTTTTTGTCAAAGGAGGCCAATAGGAATTGTAGGGCACTGTTTTGTTTTTTTTTTATATTAAGACACAAATAAACAAATATCGAATTGTTCATGTTTCTCGTAGCAATCATCAGTGTAGAACATTTTAACACTCGTACACTCTTTATACTGTACCATCCCTCCTTCCTCTTCAGTAAAACTTATCATCAATTCTGAAATGCGGCCGCGTGACATCATCGGGATTCAGGAACACCGATATGGACTTTCCGGGGTTTTCCGTGACGAGCTGCTGCAGTCTCTGTGCGAGCTTATCCTCTGACGGGGAAATGATCCCGTTGGACTGATGCCCCGGCGACCCGTGTCCGTTAGCGTTGGCCATGAGCTCCTTCTTCAGCTGGCCGGACTGCTGCGCCGCGCGGAGGTGCTCCAGCGGGTCCGACCTCACGCACGCCAGCTTACGCGCTATGAACAGGGCCTGGCTGTCGGACAGGTGCTCGAGCATGTTGCATTGTGGGAGGAAGTAGTTGGGGCAGTTTTTGCTGAGGATGCAGTGGGCCAGATCGTCCAGGAGTCCCAACATGAGGCGCCCGGGCGTGTCTGGGTCGGGGCAGGACAGATAGGCGGAGGGCAGACGGTCGCACGCCCAGAAGAGGAGGGTGCGCAGGTGGTACAGGCTCAGGCCGGAGCGCGGGCGAGCCAGCACGGGAGCTAAGATGGATTTAGCTGCTTGGAACGCCTGGGCCATGGGGTAAGGGATGCACTTCTTCAGCTGGACCTGTGGAGGAGGAAAACAAAATCAAACATTACAGATGTAGGGGTTAGTTTAGTTGAGTTTATTTATTTAATGAGACAGGGACAGTGCACAATCTACAAAAACCTTCACAGGAGAGATGCTTTGTGCCAGGTTATAGCACCAGTGGTAATTTCCACCTGTCGTCCCTGAGCAGGTTGATTTTGTAGTTCATAAAATCCAACATGCAAAGAGAATGACCGGATCATAACAATTCTGTATCGTCATTCATACCCAGTTCACTCAACACCTTAAAAACATCATCCTTACCAAAATCATCATTCATTTCATTCACTCCAGAGCATCACTCTCTCTCCAGACACTCCTCAGTCCACTTTATGGTGCAGGTTTGGTTTGAAAGGAGCCACTGTTTCACCAGGTGTGAGAATGTGCCCTAGTTTGTACCATATTTTTAATCATGAAAAAGAAAAAAAAAACATATATAAGTTGCACTTTTTGGAGGAAATTCAGAGACCAGGAACCGACATTTCATCTTGAAAGGCAAGTTATAATAATAACAATAGAATAGAATAGAGCAGGAGTCCGCAACCCCTGGGCTGGGGACCGGTATCGGACTGTGAAAGAGCTAGCCCCCCTCCCATACAATGCACAGACCGTCCCCCCTCCCTTGCGTCGTACGTGGCTCGGACAGTCTTCCCTCCTGTATGTTGCACATGCTACACCACTTAACCAGGTCTAAACCAGGTCTAAACCAGGTCTAAACCAGGTCTAAACCAGGTCTAAAGCAGGTCTAAACCAGGTCTAAAGCAGGACTAAAGCAGGACTAAAGCAGGACTAAAGCAGGACTAAAACAAGAAAACAGACAAAGCTTTGTATAAAAGCTGAAGTGTATTCCTTCCATCCATCAGTAGGGGGCACTGCACAACGCGTAGCTACAGGTGTCTAAAAAAAGAGGTTTGAAATGGAGTGAAATGGCTGTATAATCCTCATTAATATTTTAGAATGTGGAGCAGTGCACTACAGAGATGAACTTTATAGTAATTGAATAAACAATTTGGCAAAAAAGAAAATCTGCAGAGATAATGGCCTCTTGGTGCCATGGAAAAAAGCAACATTAATCTTCACAATGTGCTCAGCCAAGATGATCATTTACCACTAACGGTCCAGAAAATCCTTTTGTTTTAGAATAATTGTAACACACACACAAAACATTGTCTATTGCTGGAATTCAGATGACATCACAATATTCTAGTGGCGCAGCTAAAAGAATATCATAATAATATTGTTGTTTTTTTTTCATACAGTGACTTCTTGGGTCTAGTCACTAATGATCAGATTCAACATGTATGAATTTACCTTTCTGATATTTCATGGCAAAGTACAATGTCATCAATAAGGAAATCATGATCAGGACCTTATCATATTCTAGAATATGAAAACTACCACTGTCCCCATTGTAGAAAAAACTGAAAACTTGAAATTGAAAATGAAAAATATATTGTTAGACTTTGATTTGTCTTTAATTTTAGGCCAAACTCCCAACATGAAGTGAGAGGAGTGAACAGGGACAAATACCTTTCTAAGACTTCAGTTCAGTTCAGTTCAATTGATTTTTGTAAAGCCCAAAATCACAACAACACTCACAAAATTGTTACTTTAACCAACAGAAAGTTAGAAAATCAAACTGTGAAAAACTGGCCTCAGACTCTCTGCAAAAAAATAAAAAAAATAAAATAAAAAATCCCAGTGGGAAAAAGAAAACCTTGATCACAATCACAAATAACCAGCTACCATGTGGTTGGTGGGTATGTGTTTATCCCACTGTTTCACCACTACACCAATACTGTTACAGCCTAAATGAATGGAGTAATTGTACTGTTACTGGCTTTTAAACATACTCTTGAGTAGGGCTGGGCGATATGGAGCAAAAAATAGATCGATATATTTTGCTGTATCTTGATATGTGTACAAGAAAAATAACCTCCCAAAACTCCTGCAAAAACAAATATGCCAAATTGCACAATGTCTTTTTTTATTGAAGTGCGAGAGGTCAGCAGTTCATGTAGGAACAAAGTGCTTCTGCCACATTTAAGATTACAAAAAAACCCTGATTACATAAATAATAATTTTACTGTAAAATAAAAGAAATAATACATATTTCCTTCTTTTCATTCATAAATAAAACAACTCAACTCAAGCTCATCTTTACATTAACTCTGTAACTGTACAATAACCATGAGCTCCTTCAGCAGAAGAAGCTCAGGATGTTTTTTATTTGAACAGATCCATGTTCCTCACCAGTGTGAGGAGCTCTGAGGTTTCCCACAATCCACTGCAGATCAAACCCAACGTTTCCAAACACTATTGTACAAGTGACACTGCAGCAGATTATTCATTCAAATCTTCTGCATGAATAAACTTCACATTATTAAACTTTACAACATATAAACATAACGACTCTAGAGCCACATCAGCCTGTTTGACATTATCATGTGTTTAATGCAGTTTTGCACTTGTGTTTACGTTTTACAGAAATGAAATTTAAAAGCACATGGCTCTTTTATATAAACAGCTCACTCCTTGTGTCGCTGATGCAGTTCAGCTTCTTTCGTTCTCTCTCTGTGTTCTCTCTCTGTGTGTTCTCTCTGTGTGTTCTCTCTCTGTGTTCTCTCTCTGTGTTCTCTCTCTGTGTGTGTGTTCTCTCTCTGTGTGTTCTCTCTCTGTGTTCTCTCTCTGTGTGTTCTCTCTCTCTGTGTGTTCTCTCTCTGTGTGTGTTCTCTCTCTGTGTGTTCTCTCTCTGTGTTTCTCTCTCTCCTCTCTGTGTTTCTCTCTCTCTCTGTGTGTTCTCTCTCTGTGTTTCTCTCTCTGTGTGTTTCTCTCTCTGTGTGTTCTCTCTCTGTGTGTTCTCTCTGTGTGTTCTCTCTCTCTGTGTCTCTCTCTGTGTTCTCTCTCTCTCTCTCTGTGTTCTCTCTCTCTGTGTCTCTCTTCTGTGTTCTCTCTCTCTGTGTTCTCTCTCTGTGTTCTCTCTCTCTCTCTGTGTTTCTCTCTCTCTGTGTCTCTCTCTCTGTGTTCTCTCTCTCTCTGTGTTCTCTCTCTCTCTGTTCTCTCTCTGTGTTCTCTCTCTCTGTGTTCTCTCTCTGTGTTCTCTCTCTCTCTCTCTGTGTTTCTCTCTCTCTCTGTGTTTCTCTCTCTCTCTGTGTTCTCTCTCTCTGTGTTCTCTCTCTGTGTCTCTCTGTGTGTTCTCTCTCTGTGTTCTCTCTCTGTGTTCTCTCTCTGTGTGTTCTCTCTCTGTGTTCGTCTCTCTCTGTGTGTTCTCTCTGTGTGTTCTCTCTGTGTGTTCTCTCTGTGTGTTTTCAGAGTCTCTCTCTGTGTGTTCTCTCTGTGTGTTCTCTCTGTGTTTCTCTGTGTGTTCTCTCTGTGTGTTCTCTCTCTGTGTGTTCTCTCTCTGTGTGTTCTCTCTCTGTGTGTTCTCTCTCTCTCTGTGTGTTCTCTCTGTGTGTTCTCTCTCTGTGTGTTCTCTCTGTGTGTTCTCTCTCTGTGTGTTCTCTCTCTGTGTGTTCTCTCTCTGTGTGTTCTCTCTCTGTGTGTTCTCTCTCTCTGTGTGTTCTCTCTCTGTGTGTTTCTCTCTGTGTGTTCTCTCTCTGTGTGTTCTCTCTGTGTGTTCTCAGAGTGTTCTCTCTGTGACAGAGGATGTGCTGCTGATGGTTTTGTCTGTAAATGGTGGAAAAAGTTTGTGGTGCTAGCAGCTTTTCACTGGCACCAACTTTCAGCATTCAGAGCGGCAGTGAATGAGACAAACGGAAAATCAGAGAGGCGGGGACACGCACAGAGAAGACAAACAAGCGAAACGGCGAAATCAGAATTGAATATAAGCATTATATCAATACATCCGATATGTCAGAATCCATATCATGTTTTAAAAATATCTCGATATATTTAAAATATCGAGATATCGCCCACCCCTACTCTTGAGTACCTTTGTCTTGGCATTTCATGTTTTAGAACTGAATAGACACCAAATGCACTGACAGAACTGGGCACCTACTGGCAACTGAAGGAATTACATTTAAAAAAAAATCACAACAACTAGGGTTAGCAACTTTTTCCAACATGCAAACATTAACACACAGTTGTAGTGGTGTATGGACTTAAAAACAGCACACTACTTTTACCTGTGCCGTAACAAAGCTGGAGAGTTGAAAATGGTGTGTGTTCTTATGGGGCTTAGAAGGAGCAGACTTAGACAAAGACTTATCATTGAAGTGTGTATAAAGCAAAATATAACTCCGGGTGTGTTTTTGATGAAGGAACAAAATGGTTTAAAGCTCAAAAAAGCTAATTTGATTTAATATGTGTCATTTAATAATGTAGAGCATGGGAGAGGGAGTTATTACATTTTTAACTACATTTGACGTTAGGGGAAATCTGAGTTTCAGTCTGTTGGGATGTAAAACCCGTAGGCAGTAGTCGTGATCAAACCGAATCAAAGCCTGACTTGTTCTTAAAATGAAAACTACAATCAAAATGTTATACCAAGTCTGTGCGCTCTGTCTGCTGAAGAGACTACAGAAATGAAATATAGAGCAACAAAATCTTACCCTTCTCCTATGAATAGAGACGCCAATTCCAACATAACCGAAGTGGAGACCAAAAATGAGTTTTATTATCTCAATCCCATTTCAATTTCTATTATTTTCTACAAGAGCGCAGAGCAGACGAAGTACGAAGACAGTTTGTTTTGACAGTTTAGAAAATATGAAATTGAGAAAATATGAAGAAAACAGCAACTAACTCAGGAGAATACTAGAGTCAAAAGTTGTGTTGCTGTACGGTTATGTCTTAAGTTTGGCCTTGAAGAAATTACATCTTTTATATCTTAATCCTTTTGAAATGCAGCATTTTTAAAACCAAAGTAGCATTTTTACCAGTATTATCAGTTTACATGTTATACTTCAATAATAATAGTATTGGTAAAGATAACTCTTGTAATGCAGATTTATTCTTATTTACTAAGACTTCTCATTTATTGATGTTATAATCAGAAAGCAGAATGAGCCTCACATGAGCGTCTTGTTTGGATTGCCAGTTTCAATGGTGAAATTCAGTTGGTTTAAACTTAAAATGCCTCTCTGATCTGAACGGTCAACTCCCCAATCCGGAGTCAGTGCTAGTGCAGCCTCTGCAGCTCAGGGAGGGAGCTCTGGAGGTTGTGAGCTTTCACATGAGCCATGGTCAGTCCATAAACTGAGAATGAGACAAAGTTGGATGTGTCTATCTGCAGGGTAAAGCTCTGGAGACACAGGTTCAGGTGTGATTGTTGTGATGGAAACTGATATTGTGGAAGGATTTCTCTCAATCTGTGTTTGTGTAAATGAATGTAATTTCTACTTGAGATCAGCTCAGTCATTAACACGTGTAAAGGCTCAGCAGACACAACTGTCTCCACCCTCAGGAAGCCCTTTGCTGTACTATCAGTCCTCAAATGTAAGATTGTATGTCACTCTGCTTTGATATGTTTCTAAGTTGTAGTTCTGTATAAATCTTCAGAGCTCAGATGCTCTGGGGGGAGATGGAGACTCAGGTGAAGCTGTTGGTCTGTGGCTGGGGCAGCCCTTAGTCCTGTCCATATCTACTGGAACTAGAATAAACCTTTGTCTGTATTCCAAACTTTCACTGGTCTTCACAAATGGATTCATTATTTATCATCAAGAGATACATAATTCTTTCCACAACAATTGTAGTTTGAGAGCGGAGGCTACATACACACTTTAAAAAGTATTCTGTGTTACTGTTGTGGTCTGCTCCCTGATCATCTCCATGAAAACAAGGTTAAGGTTAGTGTTAAAGAGGACCTATTGTGCTTGTGTGTGCCCACATGGATCATTATGTTACAATATGCACATTGTAAATGGCAATATTCATCTAAAAACTTAATAGAAACAAGTTCACTGACTGTTAGAAAACTGTGGTGCCCAGACATCACCATAAACGCAATCACAACAAAGAGCTACATGTCAGGTCTGTGGAGAGGTGACTCTGTGTGTAAGAACATGTTTTTCAAGGTATTTTGAACAATAAAGCATGTAAGTGAGGAAACACTAAACAGATCATTTATACTGCTAGTTTTGCACTGTTTATTTTAATTGTAAACATTCCTTTTTTTTTTTTTAAATCATAGTTTATATTTTACCATTATTATTCATTGTCTTATGTTACACCATATCACCAAAACAACTTTTGCAGATTCTACACTGTGGAAAATCGCAGACAAAGCAATAGTACCTCCACAGAGACTGGCAAATCCCCTTATCAGAAAACGAACATAATGCACCTTTAACCTGTACAAGCACATTTAGACTGACCTCGCTGCGGGAGAAGGCCAGTCTCCACTCACGGTCCGCTCTGCCTCCTGCTGGTGCGCAGCAGGGCAGCAGGTAGAAGCCTGAGATGGCCTCCTCTTCTGTGATCTTTCCATCCCAGAAGTGGTTTGCCGTGAGCCAGCCCTGAGCCACCGCAGGCCAGCCCCGAAACGACACCACAGGGAGCAGGTCGTACAGGACCCGGCTGGAGCCCGCCTACAGAAGACACACGCTGATCAACTCATGGACGACATCTCCACACAATACAGTCTCTTCTAAGTTTTACATGTCAAGTGTAATTTTGTAACACTACTAAAAAATCAAACGCTTAGACACTCTTTTTCACTACCTGATTACCCAATTTTTACAGCCTTAAAGGAGCGGTGGGTAACTTTTCTGGTGGAGGGTTCGTCAAATATTTTTCTCCATGGAGATGTTATTGCTTTGGCTGGAATGTTTCACAATATGGCATTAAACCTTTCTATCTTCATGGAGATCAAACCAGACCATGTTACAGGTCAGATCTGTGGAGAGGTGACCCTGCTCACAGTCACAATGCCTGTTTTTCTAGGTATTTTTGAGCTATAAAACTACCTGTAGTTTAATAACTGTAAGATAATGTTCATAAAAACAAGCAGGTGATGGACCCCCAACCAGAAAGTTACACAGTGCCCCTTTAAAAACACATAGTTCCTCATTCTCGGACTAAAACACTTTATAATTAGATGCAGACAGCACGCAGCAGACTTTTTTTGACCTCAAGGACTATATCTGTACTGGGGCAAGACACATTTTACTAAAATACATGGGGGGAAAAAGATCAGGTACATCACAGCCATTGGGCTGCTTTAAATATGGGTTTTATCTGAGGATCACTGATAAAATGAGAGCGTGATCTGTGTAAGGAAAGGAAATGTGGGGCTTTGAGCAGGTGACTTTAGTGAGAAAGTCTTTCAATACTGAGGAAGTGATACTTTGCAGTCACATCAAGCTGGGGGATTTGTCAAAATAAGCGTTCGTGGTCCTGTTTAGGAGTTTGATTTTCAACAAAAAAGTGAGAGTGACTCACTGAAAAACTGTGACTTTAACGTTTTTTGAGAGGGACTTTTTTAACAGCACGAATCAGCTCTCGAGTAAATCATTTATCTTTCTGGTCAGATTGTGATAAAACATGAAAGTATCTCGAGTAGGGATGGGTATTTGATGAAATTTTCTTAATCGATCGTCAAAAGAATTAACGATAGATTATCGATTAATCATTAACGTTTTTATATTAAAATTATTATCATTATTATTACTATTTGCACTAATCTGCATAAATTAATTCAACTTTACGACATATAAACCGTAAACACTCTAAAGCCACATCAGCCCGTTTGACATTATAATGTGTTTAATTCAGTTTTGCGCAACTCTCACAGAAACAAAACTTCAAACCGCATTGCTAATTTGCATAAACTAAGCGAAGATAAAACTACAGCTCTTGTGTCGCTGATGCCGTTCAACTTCTGTCGGATTAAAAGACACGACTCAGTGGAATACAGGTTAGTGTGAATATATTTGCGTTTGTCAAAACCAGGACACCGTACGGGGGGAGGGAGGTGGGGACTCGTCATCGACATTACGCGACTCTCACCTGGCAAAACTTTTTCCCACTGGACACCGAAACGTATGTGCTGCTTTGTTCACTGTGCACATGGCCTCACACGTGGAATTTCTTGTACAAATCATCGTTGCACATCGTTCGCATTTGCACTTCGGCACGTTGCAGACTGACCGACTGTTTGTGCAGAGCTACATGTACAGACCCCTGTTTGGTCACGCTACACACAGCAACCTACATTCGGTTTGTCGATTAAAATGAACGTAATCGATGAAATTCTTAATGATCAATTAATCATGCCCATCCCTAATCTTGAGTAACAGCTTCAGACAGAACAGTGCCTCTAGTTAGCTTCATCCTTAAGGGAATATTGATGACAGCTGCAAAGTATCAATAGGTTTGACTGTTGACACAACCTTCAATATTTACTTATTTACATTTCCACAGTAAAGAACAGTAGTCAGATATTGTTGTGTTCACCATCTTATCTTATCCCAGGTCTGATGTTATAAAGCTCAACATTATTCTAAAATGTTACAGATAAATCAAACTTAATGATGTTAGAGATTTTTTTTGTAGTTTAAAATGAGTACCTAGTTTCAATATCAGCTTTAAAGGTTCTGTATTAATGGAAAATGGATTCTTGTGAGCTTTAAGTCATGTCAGAATGTTGTAACCTCAAAAACAGAGCTGGAGTTGGTCACCCTTCGCAGCAGCATATGCAGTACCTGTAGGATGATGGTGGTGAGGGGCCCGTTGCGCTCCAGTCTCTCCGGGGTGGGGATGCCTCTCTGCGGGCTCCTCCTCAGCTCCTCCACGGCCTCCCGGACCACCCCCCAGAACCAGTCTGTGACCAGGGCGGGCGAGAAATAACAGCCGTCCAGGGCCTGCGGAGAGCCCAGCGACGGGGGCACGGCTTTACCTGGCACAAGGGCACAAGGGTAGATTTATAACCAGGAGAATGTTTTCAGGTTAAGGCAGGGTTAAGTCTGAAATTTGTAAAAAGAAAAAAAAAAAAAAAATCCTAAATGTGTACCTATATCAATACATGAACAAAATTATTCATTATTTTATAGATTCTATTATACCCCAGTGCATCTTCAGAAAATGTTCCCTGACAGCTCTGATCTTTGTTATAAATGTCAAAAATATAAAGTTACTCTAGTACATTTATTCTGAGAATGTGAATATATTAAACAATTTTGGAGAGATGTACATGCTGTTACCCAACAGATTACAGAAAAAAAAACTTTTGTCATGTCACCATCATTGTATCTTGTTAAATCTTTGTCCAGACAAACGTTTTGATAATGTTACCCAGTCTATGTTAATGATTATGATGTCTTTGGCAAGAAAATATGTTCTTTTGAAGTGGGCAACCCCACATTTACCTACACTGGACTTATGGTTCACTCAGTCATCATCAACCATTCCCCTGGAAAAACTGACTTATGAACTAAATGGTAAACAAGATATGTTCACCTGTATGACACCTGTACACATACTTAAATACGTCACTTTTTTAATTTTTTTTTTATACATTTGTTATGGGTGTGTGCTTGGGTGTGTGCGTTCATGTGTATGTATGTATATATGTATGTAATTTCTATATATTTTGTTTTTTGCATCATTACAATATAATTATGATGACTTTATTATTTAATTTTTTATTTTCTTGTCAATATTATTATTACTATCACTATTGTATTTTTATTTTATTGTTATTATTTTTATTTATTTATTTATATATATATTTAAATTTTATTTTTTTATTTTTTTTCAGCGTCTGTTAAGGGTGGGTGTGGGGAGGGTGAAGGGGGGCTTGGGAATGGGGAGGAGGGGATTTAAATATGGCCTTTGTATATTTGTACATCTTGTGGCATTATTGTCTGACCATAAGACCATAATATCGGGGAAAAAAATAAAAATAAAATATATATGACAAAAAGGCAGGGTTAAGGTTCACTGAACGGTCCCTGTAGGGAAATCTGTCCTCTTCATTTGACCCATGGAAAGCTTTATTCAGGCAAGAGTCAAGGTACAAAAAAAAGTCCAGATGTTAAACATAAAGCAGTTTCAGATAGTTTCAAAATTTAACTATGAGAAGTTTTGATAGTGAAAAAAGAAGTTGAATTAAAGCCGCGCGCGGCGATGGTGGCCCTCGCCCCGGGCGCGCACCGCCCCCCCACGCGACCTCCGGGGACTCGCGACCGCCCCGGCACGTCACCCTTTCTCCCCGACATCCGCCCAGGCCGACAGCTAGTCCATTAGACACATTACATAATGCACCTTTAAATATTTATAGGAGTCATTGCGCCCCTGCTGGGCAACAGTGGAAAATGCACCATGTCCGCTATTTATTTTTTTGCTCATAGTCATGCATAGAACTTATTCCCTGAATTTGGTACAAATGCAATAATGTGTACATGTCATGTATATGCTAGGGGGCGCTATAGTGTTAAATTTTCATATGTTTTATAGTGTATTATATTCAGGTCGTGATCAGGCATTAGTGATTCAAATTTCAGCATGATCGGACTAAGCCTGTGGGTGTAATAATTTTTTAACTATTTTTTCAGGGAGTCTTTGCGCCCCTGCTGGCCAAACGTGGAAAATGCATCATGTCCATAATGGACTTTCTTGCTTGTAATCATGCATAGAATTTAATCCCCGAATTTGGTCCAACGCACCGCCCCCCCGGCGAACGCTGGGGACTCGCGACCGCCCCGACACACCGCTCTCTCTTCCCGACAGCTCCCGAGGCCAACAGCTCGTCCACCAGAAAAATGACATAGTGTACCTTTAAAATTGGATAAAGTGAATGATTCTAGAGACAAACTGTAGACACTAAGCCACAGGTCACATGACTTTAATGGTCAAGAGCACTGTCACACTAAGACTTAAGTGCATGAAAACACATCCTCCACCAGAAAAGTTACATAGTGTGCCTTTAAATTTCTCAGAAGTGAAATTATTCTAGAGGCCAAAGTGTCAAACTAGGGTATAGGTCTTACTGACTTTTATGATGAGGAGTACGTCAGTGAATGTTTTGGCAAAGTTTTACAAATGAATGTAAAACAAATTTTATGTCACACAATAATAAATTGTGTGCATTCATATAGGTGGCGCTGTATCCCTGATAACTGTATTTGACATATCAATGGAATAAGGGTCATGCAGTGTATAACTGATAGAAATGTCATCACAATCGGACAAAACATGTGCATATAATAATTTTTACAATATTTTTGGGGGGATTCTCTGTGCCCCTGCTGGCCAACCGTGAAAAATACACCATGACTGTAATAGACATTTTTGCTTATAATCATGCAAAGAATTTATTCCCCTAAATAAATAAATATGTTTTATAGTGTATTATATTCAGGCCATGATCAGGCATTAGTGATTCAAATTTCAGCACAATCGGACTAACCCTGTGGGTGTAATAATTATTTAACTATTTGTTGGGGGAGTCTTTGCGCCCCTGGTGGCCAGTGGTGGAAAATGCATCATGTCCGTAATAGACTTTTTTGCTTGTAATCATGTCTAGAATTTAATCCTCGAATTTGGTACTAATCCGATAATGTTGATGTTTGATTCTCTGTGCCCCTGCTGGCCAACCGTGAAAAATACACCATGACTGTAATAGACATTTTTGCTTATAATCATGCAAAGAATTTATTCCCCGACTTTGGTCCAAGTCCGATAATGTTGACATTTCATGTCTAAAGAGGCGTTGACACCAAAGCGTCAAAAAACGCCTTGACGCCTCTATTTGGACGCGTTTGCATTTGAGTGTAGACGCCCCCGACGCGCGTCTTTGACGCCGTGAACAAACGGGACAAAAATACTTGACGCGCGTCCGTTGCCGTGGAAACAAAAGCCCGGTCCCGGTCTTTTCCCGAAACAATATCAGACCAGACTGAGAGAGTGTTTTTATGACATAAAACATCAGCGGAGGAGATCGGGTCGACGACTGGGGCGTATATATATTTATACTCCGCTAATGACACTGAATCAGTCCCGGTCTAGTCCTGGTTTGGTCCCGGTCTAGTTCTTGTTTAGTCCCAGTCGAGTCCTGGTTTAGTCCTGGTCCGGTCCTGGTGTAGTCCTTGCGATCGGCTCGGTGATTGTGGCGTATATATTTATGCTCCGCTCATGTTGGTGGTTCTGGTTCTGGTTCTCGGGTCTTGCTTCCTGATAATAACGTCGCTGCGTCACTGGATACTCGTCCCTGATTGGTTGACGCGGCGCGTCTGACGTGAAAAGTTCAGCATTTTCAACTTCTTGACGCTGACGCTTTGGACGCGCGTCTTGGCCGCTGACGCCAAAACGCTCAAGTAGCGCCGCGTCGACGCCAGATTCGCGCCGCGCTGACGCCGAAAACGCGCTGCAAAAACGCAGGACGCTCTAGTCGCGCGTCCACATAGACTTTACATAGAAAGTGGACGCTTTGACGCTTTGGTCTGAACGGGCCTTAAGGTAGGGGGCGCTATACTGTTCACTTTTCATATGTTTTATAGTTTATTATATTCAGACCAATATCCCGCATTAGTGATTCAAATTTCAGCACAATCGAACTAAGCATGTCCCTGTAATCATTTTTTTACTATTTTTAGGGGGAGTCTTTGCGCCCCTGCTGGCCAACCATGAAAAAATGCATCATGTCCATAATGGACTTTTTTGCTTGTAATCATGCATAGAATTTAATCCCCGAATTTGGTCCAAATCCGATAATGTTGACATTTCATGTGTATGGTAGAGGGCGCTATAGAGTTCTCTTTTCATATGTTTTTATAGTGTATTATATTCAGGCCGTGATCATGCATTTCTTATTCAAATTTCAGCACGATCGGACTAAGCCTGTGGGTGTAATCATTTTTTTATTATTTTTTTGGGGAGTCTTTGCGCCCCTACTGGCCAACCATGAAAAATGCACCATGTCCGTAATAGACTTTTTTGCTTGTAATCATATATACAGAATTTAATTCCCGAATTTGGTACAAATCCAATAATGCTTACGTTTCATGTCTATGGTAGGGGGCGCTATAGAGTTCATTTTTCAAATGTTTTATAGTGTATTATATTCAGGCCGGGATCATGCATTAGTGATTCAAATTTCAGCACGATCGGACAAAACCTGTTTTGTGTAATAAATTTTTAACTTTTTTTTGGGGGGAGTCTTTGCACCCCTGGTGGCCAACTGTGAAAAAATACCCCATGTCCGTAATGCACTTTTTTTGCTTGTCATCAGGCATAGAATTTAATTTCCAAATTTGGTAAAAATCCGATAATGTTGACGTTTCACGTCTATGCTAGGGGGCGCTATAGAGTTCACTTTTATTAGATTTCATATTTCATTACATTCAGGCCTGGGTCACGCAATTGTGATTTTGAATTTGAGTTCTCTATGACAATGCCTGTGGCCGTGACAGGCCTTCGAAAAAACAGGAAACGAAGGCGTTATTCGCCGGCGTGCTACGGGCGAACCGTACGGAGTATCTCAAAAAAAGTTGAAAATTTCTGTGAGTTCATGTCTCTAGATGTGACATGTCAAATCTGAGCTCATTTGGACGAAACCCTGGGGACTTGAATCTTTTTGTAGACCCCCAAGTCGAAACGGCGCCGAATTTTTGATCCAATATGGCCGACTTCCTGTTCGTCATACGGGTGCACAATGATTGGCTTTTTTGTTTGTCTCCATGAGTTCTATCACTGTTCCGAATTTCGTGACCCTACTCCAAAATATGCGTCTGAGCCTCCCAGTCATCTCAAAATTTTGAAATTTCAAGGGGGCGCTGTTGAGTGGGGGGGCTTTGGGCATTGTCGCGATGCCCGTTTTATCGAATTTTTCGCCGGACCGGTCGATCTGGACCCCGGTTTGGGGACTTTTCGTCGATGTTCAGGGGGTCAAAAATGCGA